TTCAGAGTTCTTTATAGTTCTCTGAAATTTAATACTCATCCTTTTATGATGTATTAGTTTTTTACTCTTATTACCAGAATGAAGCTTAATGACAGCAGGGGTATTGTCTGTTTTGTTCATTGTTATATCCCCAGGACCTAGAAAATTCCTGGCACAAAGGAGTTGGGTAAATATGTTGTGAATGATTCATTTATTAGTAAATATAGACATATAGGCATGGTTGTGGGGGAAGGGAATATAATGAACCAAATATGGTTGTTATTTTCCATATTATTCAATTAAGTTATGAGATAGACATAGAAACATATTTCTATACAAATTGGACTTTAAACAAGGAATAGATATTAGATTAGACAGAATACTTACATTAAGTTTATAAGCTAATTATCATAGGCTAAGTGTGAAATGATGACATAGATAGTGAGTTGTAAATATTTATTTGAAGAGAAATAAGTATAATGAATTGAGATTGTCCAGATTTATCAAAAGAGGCACGGTCTTGGAGGGAGAATTGAATTAGCAGGAAAGAAGCGATTTGGGATCAATGGGATAAGGGATGGTGACGGGAAATGACATATTTTGTGAGAAAATGAGCAGACCATTGATGAAAGAAGTTCTGGACAGTAAGGCTGAGAAAATGAGCCAGGCCACGACGTCGTGCTCAGCCACCAGTTGTGTGACATTGGGCAAGAATGGCATCTAGCTTTATTTATACAATGGTAATACTAGCTTCATTTTGCTTTTTCACGAGGTTTCTTGGGGCATCAAATGAATAAAAATGATTCTGAAAGAAGTAAGCAGACATAACCATTAAGAAATAGTATGATACAAATTGGAATACACATTATGGTTTAAATAATAGAGGAAAGAATGTTGGAAGGAAATATATTCAAATTTACTGCACTTGAATTAAAATGCTATGACTATGAGTGAGCTTTCTTCCCCTAATTTTCTCTATATTACAGATTATCATTGAAGAGCATATATTAAGCAAAAATTCATTTCATTCAGCAAATATTATACTAGGTGCTGAGAAAAATAGGAGTGAATAAAATAAATAAGATCTGAGCTCTCAAGGAGTTTAGGTCTTACAAGCAGAGACAGACACAAAACAATGCAGACACATAAGATCATTTCAGATAACTAGTGCTATGATAGTAGTCTATTGATGGAGTAGGATGTTGCTGATAGATAGAGGAGTCAGGGGAAGTCTCTCTGAAGAGAGCAGAGACCTGTTTGACAAAGCCTAAATAATAAACAGATTAGATGCTGAGTTGGGAAGAAAATGTTGTAGACAGTGGGTCAAGCAGCTGCAAAGACCATAAGCAGAATGAGCTGCTTGTGCTCAAAGGAAATCCAGTGTGGCTGGAACATAGTGAGCAAGGAGGATGGTGAAAGTGAATCCAGATACATAAGATCATGAATGACCTATGAAATCATGGGAAGAAAGCTGAATTTTATTGTCAGTGCACAGATAAGACATTGGGGTATTTCTCTAACAAAGCAAACAAGAATACACAATAGGAAAAAGGCAGTCTCTTCAACAAGTGTTGGGAAAACTGAATGGCAACATGCGAAAGAATGAAACTAGACCATTTTCTTACACCATACACAAAAATAAACCCAAAATGGATTAAAAACCTAAATGTGAAACCTGAAACCATAAAATTCCTAGAAGAAAACATAAGTAATAATCTATTTGACATTGCTGTGGATATATTTTATAGATAAGTCTCCTCTGGCAATAGAAACAAAAGCAAATTAAACTATTGGGATTTAATCAGAATACAAAGCTTCTGCATACTGAATGAACCATCTACAAAACAAAAAGACAACCCACTGAATAGGAGAAGATATTTACAAATGATATATCAAATAAGGGATTAATATTCAAAATATTAAAGTACTTATACAACTCAACACCAAAAAAATCCAATTAAAAAAGGGCAGAAGACATGAACAGATATTTCTACAAAGAACACATCCAGATGGTCAACAGACACCTCAAAAGATTATCAACATCACTAATCATCAGGGACACACACACACACACACACACACACACACACAAAACCGAACCCAAAACCACAAGGAGCTATCACCTCACACCTGTTAGAATGGCATTAATTAAAAAACAAAAAAACAAAAACAAACCAAAAAATGCAAGAAAAAACAAGTCTTGGCATAGATGTGGAAAAGAAGGACCCCTCATGCATTGTTGGTGGGAATGTAATTTGGTGCAGCCACTGTGGAAAACAGTACAGAGTTTCCTCAAAAACTGAAAGATAGACTTAACCATTTGATCCAGTCATTCCACTACTGGTATTTAACCAAAGAATACAAAAACACTAATTCAAAAAGATATGTACCCCAATGTTTACTGCAGTATTATTTACAATAGCCAAGATATAGAAGCACCCCAAGTGTCCATCAGTAGATGAATGGATAAAGATGTAGTGTGTGTGTGTGTGTGTGTGTGTGTGTGTGTGTGTGTGTATAAAATATTACTGTGGAATATTATTCAGCCATAGAAAAAAATTATATCTTGCCATTTGCAACAACATGGATGGACCTAGAGGGTATAATGCTAAGTGAAAAAGATTAGTCAGAGAAAGACAAATACCATATGATTTTGCTCATGTGTGGAATTGAAGTAATAAAACAAATGAACAAAGAGAAAAAGAGACAAACAGAAAAACAGACTCCTAAACACAGAGAACAAGCTGCTGGTTGCCAAACAAGAGGTAGGCAAAGTGGTTGAGGGGATGAGTGAAATAGATACAAAGGATTAAAAGTACACTTATCATGATGAGTGATGTGTATAATTGTTAAATCATTATACTGTACACCTGAAACTAATATAACATTGTGTGTTAACCAAACTTGAGGCTTAATTAATTAATAAAAGGCACTGGGATATTTTAAGTAGAGAGATGGAATTATCTGATTTATGTTTTTGAACAATATTTTATACATGTGTGTATGTATGTACATATACGTATATGTAATACACATATAGAAATATAGGTATAATATATATATATATATAGAAATTTATTTTAACTGCTAGATGACAAAATGAATTCCAGTGTGATTTCATGTCATTATATGATCTGCTGATGTCTAATTGATAGGTCTAATTCGTTAAAATGAGGTCATTATGGTCATATGTGGCATTTCCAGCATAAGACATTTGACATCATTTCCTGAAGATTTTACTAGTATATTAGAACATTGGTAACATTTTCAAATAGTGTTTGTCTCATTCTGCACAGTGGGATGAAGACAAACACCAGTATTGTTGATTGAAGACCCCAGTATTCTGTATGTCTATTCCACTTCCCTCCTTAATTTGCTATGTTATTCTCTTTTGCATTTTATTTCCTGAAAAATAAGAAAGAGCAGTGGTGCATATGAAAAATAGATGTTAAAGAGGAAAATCTGCAACTGTAGGGCTGTGTAGATTTTGCTACAGAGTATTTCAAAGTTACTTTTTGTCTTTCTCTTCCTGGCAGACCGTATTTTTAAGAAATAATAGGTTGAGCTCTCTTGAATGAACAAGAGACGGTACAACAGCTGTGGCACATAGAGAAGCACATGAATTACTTTAAGTTCCCAAAGTTTTTTCACTGACCTCGTAGTTCCTTCGGTGCACTCTGCATGTGCTGCTCTCGGAAGCGTGCAGGCACAGTGGAAGAGCAAGCCCTTTTCCTCCAGCCTTCCAGGGAAACAATAGATTGATGAAATACTGTGTACTTTCATTGCTACCCAGAAAGTGGGTTATTCTTTCATGAAAACACATATTAATGGAACTTGGATGTCAGTTTAAAGAGTCCACTCTGCCTTCAGTGTCTGCAAAAATAAACAGATCTCACACAGGATGAAGCATACTCCCACTCCTATAGAAGGTTAATATCCACACAGCCTTCTCCCTCCAGAATGAAGGACTGACAGCTATCGAGCATACTCTTTCCCCTCGTTACCTTTCCATCACAAACAAGGTTTTTCAAAAAAAGTCTAGCAAGGCTTTATCCTATCAACGTCTTTGTTGTTTTTGAAAATGATTGTTGTTTCTTGGGCATTCAGAAAGCTGCATCAAAACCCAAAACCACTTTGGACAGTTCTCACTGGAATAAAAGAGATAGGACACCATTCTCTACATTTTCATCCTCAAAAATGATCTCTTCTGAAAGTAAATGATACTATTTTCAAGGAGCTGTGATTTTTCCTCCTTCTTGGAGGTAACCAGCAGTGCTTTTCCAACAGACATTTCATATAAAGCCTGTGTCAAAATCTTCTTGGGAATTCAGGAGAAAAAGTAGATAACCCTCAGCCCCTTGAACAGCTTAGAGTTATTTAACAGTCCCTAGAGGTAATAAGTGGTTTAAGAATTAAAGCTGTTGAATCAGACGGCTCTGTGTCCAAATCCTGCCCTTACCCTTATTTCTTTCCACCTGTGAAACACACTTCTTTCCAGGAACTTTAGAAATTTCTGAAAAATAAATATAATACTAACGGTCATATCCTAGGGTTGTCTTGAGGATTAATGGGGTAATTAATCATGCATATAAAGTAGTTAGCCTGGGTGGCACCTGGGTGGCTCAGTCGGTTAAGCATCCGACTTCAGCTCAGGTCATGATCTCACAGTTTGTGGGTTCGAGCCCCCACATTAGGCTCTGAGCTGACAGCCTGGAGCCTGGATCCTACTTTGGATTCTGGGTCTTCTACTCTCTCTGCCCCTCCCTGCTCATGCTCTGTCTCTTTCTCTCTTTCTCTCTCTCACAAATAAATAAAACATTTTTTAAAAATTTTAAGTATTTAGCATGGTACCCAAGTTCCAAATAAGTACTTAAAAAGCAGTAGCTTTTTAGTGTTCTTGGTAAACACTAATAAGGGGAATAATTACTATATAAAGTTTTTTTTGAAGTGGCCTTTGAGAATATTACAAACCTATATTCACAAATTATAAATATGGACTATGTTTTCATTTTTCTTAATAGGCATTTTAAAATGTTGTATGGCATACAATATCGGTCTCCTAGGAGCAAAGATATTTTCCGGTCCTTCAAGTGAACAGTTTGGCTATGCTGTGCAGCAGTTTATAAATCCAAAAGGCAACTGGTAAGATCATTCTCTTTATGGTTTCAATAAAAATGCTAAATAAATTTAATGTTTGACTCCAACTGCTTGTTCATATTGGTACATGAATATATTATTAATGGATAGTCTTCAAATACCCAAATAAATAAAGGATCTTTCCTTGAGAGTTGATAACTTTCAGATTGATGATTGATAATTAATGAGATGGTACAATGGTACTGTTAAAAAACTAGATAGAAAACTTCCCCTAAGTATTCCATAGTAAATTTATAATAGCAGTTACCTTTCTCTAGTGCATTTGCCGTGTTCATTTTTGCTTAAGTGCTCCCAATTTTTTACTGCTGTGTAATGGTTACATTTTTTATTTAATTTAATTTTTTAAATTTTATTTTGTTTTTGTTTTGTTTTGTTTTATTTTATTTTATAGTTTATTATCAAGGTGGTTTCCATATAACACCCAGTGCTCATCCCAGCAAGTGCCCTTCTCCATGCCCATTACCCCTTTTCCCCTCTCCCCTACTCTGATCGGTATTTAAGAATCTCTTATGGTTTGCCTCCCTCCCTCCCTCCCTCTCCTTAACTGTTTTTTTCTCCTTCCCCTCCCCCATGGTCCTCTAGTAAGTTTCTCCTGTTCCACTTATGAGTGAAAACACATGCTATCTGTCCTTCTCTGACTTATTTCCCTTAGCATAACACCCTCGAGTTCCATCCACATTGCTACAAAAGGCCAGATTTCATTCTTTCTCATTGCCATGTAGTATTCCATTGTATATATAAACCACATCTTCTTGATCCATTCATCAGTTGGTGAACATTTAGGCTCTTTCCATGATTTAGCTATTGTTGAAAGTGCTGCTATGAGCATTGGGGTACATGTGACCCTATGCATCAGCATTCCTGTATCCCTTGGGTAAATTCCTAGCAGTGCTATTGCTGGGTCATAGGGGAGTTCTATTGTTAGTTTCCTGAGGAACCTCCACACTGTTTTCCCGAGGGGCTGCACCAGTTTACATTCCCACCAACAGTGTAGGAGGGTGCCTGTTTCTCCTCATCCTCGCCAGCATCTAGAGTCGCCTGATTTGTTCATTTTAGCCACTCTGACCAGCGTGAGGTGGTATCTCAGTGTGGTTTTGGCTTGTATTTCCCTGATGAGGAGGGTCGCTGAGTGTAATTTCATGTGTCTGTTGGCCATCTGGATGTCGTCTTTGGAGAAGTGTCTGTTCACGTCTTCTGCCCATTTCTTCACTGGATTATTTGTTTTTCAGGTGTGGAGTTTGGTGAGTTCCTTATAGATTTTGGATACTAGTCCTTTATCTGATATGTCATTTGCAACTATCTTTTCCCATTCAGTCGGTTGCCTATTAGTTTTATGGATTGTTTCCTTTGCCATGCAGAAGCTTTTTATCTTGATGAGGTCCCAATAGTTCATTTTTGCTCTTGATTCCCTTGCCTTTGGAGATGTGTCAAATAAGAAATTGCTGCGGCTGAGGTCAAGGAGGTTGTTTCCTGCTTTCTCCTCTAGGGTTTTGATGGTTTCCTGTCTCACATTCAGGTCCTTCATCCATTTGAGTTTATTTTTGTGTATAGTATAAGAAAGAGGTCTGGTTTCATTCTTTTGTGTTATGGTTACATTTAAACCATGGTTATATTTATATCAACTACCTTCATAGATATGGAAATATATACCATCACTGCTGGTTTAAGTTTCCCTTAAAAATAATGAAAATCAATGCAGGGGAAATCAGATGATTCTGAAAGTTGTCTTTAGGTAGAAGAACTATAGCTCCTCCCTTGCCAGTCTTGATGTCCACTGGTCACAAGAGTCCCGCCATTAGAACCTTATCTCCCTGTTGCTGCAGAAGGTTCCAGACTTACCCTGGAGCTTCCTTTAGATCCTTTAGAGTTCTTTCCCATGATTGAATGGCTATTTTTGGCTAATCAAATAGAAGCTATAATTAATAATCATTTTTTCTGTGTGAACTTTAAGTTTGATGCTCAAAAATTGAATTCTAAGAAACATTTAGAATCCAAATTGTTACATTTTCAAACATTCCCATCTGTGTGATAGGGAAACAAAGTTTAATGGCCACTCGAGAGGGTACTGTCTCAAAAGGTATCTTGGAGGAAATGAATCATGAGGTGGGTCTTAAGTGGAAGAGGTGAATAGTCAGGACAAAAGCATTAACTAATATGAGGAGACTTGGAAAGCAATGTATGTTGCATTTTCTCAGACATCCCAAAGGATGAGAACAGTCTGGTTGAAAACCCAAAAATCAGCAATTATTATCATTTGGGATATGAGAGTGCATCTGTAACAGTTATCTTATTATGCTTTCATAACCATATACTGTGGTTGTAGGCTAGACAGATGTTGTAGTTGGTATAATTTGACCTTGGAATCTAGCAGATGACCCACAATTTTACATATCCAGCCCCAATTCTTCCCTGAGCTGTGGACACACATAACAAACCTCACTACATTAATGCCTAGTAGACATACCAGGCTTAACATATCAAACTTAAACAAATACCTGATTTTCTGCACCAGCCGATGAGACCAAAAATCCTGACTCCTCTCTTTCTGCCACCACTCCATATCTCATTCATTAGCCAGTACTGTTGATGCCACCACCAAAATACATGTGATAACAGACCATTGGTTTCCCGCATCTTCCCTGTGGCCCCTGCTCAAAGCCAACATGAGCCCTTGTAGGTACTGCAGCAACTGCTTCTCAGCGTGCCTCCTGCTTCCCTTCTTACCCCTGTGAACTATCAGATACATGATTCTAATAATGTCACTGCCTAGGTTAAAACCCTCTGTGGCTTCCTATTGCAATTATGTGATATTATAATTCCTTAAAGGATTGTCCATGATCTGGTCTGTCTGCCCGTCCTGTCTCATGTTTTACCCCCTCACCCTTATTCCACATGAATTCTGTCTTTTGTCTGTCCCTTGAACACACTAAGCTCATCACCGCTTCAAAGCTTCTGCCCATGCTTTTTTCCCAGAAGGAGCAGTCTTCCCAGGATCTTCACTTGGCTGGTGGGTTCTCAATTTTCAGTCTCAGCTCAGATGTCTCCTCTTTATAGAGACCTTTCAGAGCACGTCCACATAAATGAGCACTTCAGCACACCTCCCAGCTACTCTCCTGCCTTCCATGCCAATTTCTCTTCTGTATAGTAGTTATTACTATCTAAACTCACCTTTATTTGTTTATACTCCCATTGTTTCTCTTTTGCCCTGTTTCTGAGTATGAGCACATTGTTTTTGTTCAGTGGTGTGTCTGGAACCCAAACTGGTGACTTTTTGACACCAATCAATAATTGTTTGCTGAATGACTGAATGAAAGTTCCATTTCCAAATTATTCACTTGAGGTACTCCACAAAGTGAATCATAGTAGTTTGACTTAAGTCTGAACTGAATGAGACCTTTGGGGGAACTCTGATCTTTTGCTTCATAAGTATGACCTTGCTGAGGACAATCTGCCAGCAAGCTTGAGGTTGTTCTCTTTAAGTGAAAGTTTTTCTGAGACAAGATAAGTCTAAGAGAAAGAGATACCATCAGTAGTAGATGCTATTAGAGACAATAAGCCTATGAATGATTGGAAGGCAACTCAACCACTGGCCACACTGCAGGTTGGAAGTTGAACAAGACCAACAGGGAAAAAATGTTGACTGGAATCTAGCAGGCAGAGTCCTGGGAAAGTGAGAAGCAGCCACAGCCCCCTTCTCCCTCCATGAGTCTCTCTGAGCATACAAAGCATTGCTAAAAGACAAATGTATTAGCAGCTTATGGTGAGATTCTGGTGCTGTTAGGGTTATGTCCAGACCAAGGACACTATACATTCCTAAGTCCTACTGTGGCCTTCTCATGACATTTCTGAAAGATGGATAAACACAGGACTATGGCTATTGGGAAAAAAAGGTACCACTCTATTATTGACTGGGCTAGAGCTTTTAACTCCGGTGTAGAGCTTTCTGGTAAGAAGTAATGATAGGCTTATCAAAGCCTTACTTCCCTCAAGCCTGTCTGAAACCAGCTGGTAAGAGCATACCCCAGAGCACAGGAAGAAGAGAAGAGAGGGTTTAGAGAGACTAAATCCAGTTGCAGTGCAAAGCTGGAAGGAGAGAGAACAAAAGCTGGCCTAGAATGCCAGTCTGTTCTGGCCTTGTTGAAGCAAAGAAGCAGAAGAAGCCAAGTCGTGGACATGATCTGTTAATCCACCACAGGCTGGACACTGTGTGAAGTGCCGAGTTGAGAACATGGGAATTACCTTTAAGAGGTGTGGAGTAGAGCCATAGAAAAAGATCGATTTGCAGAGCGGGCAGCCATGAGTAATGTCAGAGACGTAATAAGGGCCAACCCCGTGTGGTTAATAATGTCAATGTTAGTTCAGTGTCACTGATGGTGTTAACTTACTATTAAGGGCTCGTTTTCCCCTCACAAAGCCTGAGACACTCGAGGGCAAGATTTGCTCCTGGTCCCTCTCTCATCAGCCTGCCATAGGAGGCAGGGCTGTGACAGAAACCATGTGGTGGTGTTTCCCACTGCAGTGCCCGAGGGGGGCACGGTTAGGACAAGCACGCTCACGGCACTCGGGCTCAAGGAAAATAATACGAAACTTGGAATCCAGAATTGCCTATTTGTTTTGACGATTGGCATGGTGCCCTTCTCCACTCCTAATTTATGACAACTGTACAGACATTATTGAAGTAGCAGATGTGGAAAGGACTGTTTAAACATTAACTTGCCTCCTGATACTAGTCAAGTTAACTTTGGGCACAGAAAGGGGGATTACTGTGAATTCCTTTAATAACTGGGAGTCTTTTTCCTCTTAGACTTATATAACATACACACAAAACACACAAACATACACACACACACACACACACACACACACACACATCCCTTTATATTCTTTACTCTCTTACTGCTTGTTTTGAAGCTGCTGTTTGGGTAGTTTCCCCTCTGCTTTCATTGACTTTCTTTACAACTTTCTCCAGCTCTGTCTCTCAGCCC